TCTGCAATGGTTACGAAGAAACGAGACGTTAGTTTTGAAAGACAGTAACCAAACGTTACCTAAATTAGAAACCATACAAAACGCACCTCGTGTGGTACACCCCGTAGGCCTGCTTTGGTATGACGGGGGTGTCCTATTCAGCGAGATGCCTCATGAGCTTCGGGAACATGCTGATGGGCGCGTCCTCCTGGCAGAGAAACTGTACCGACCTCATCAGCCCAATCGCCCGCCTACCCTCAACGTCCGCGTTGATGAAACGATCGATTTTCGTCTGGCCGTTCAAAATCGCCTCCGCAATCTCTGCCTGACGCTGCATTGCCTCCTTGTGGACCGTTGTGTGCTCGTGGATGCGCATCGTCTGCGTCTGCAGGTCTCGCCCGCCGTCGCCTGGACCTGAGTACTTGGTTGTCTCCTTGCCGAACAAGAGACACAGGCTGCACTTCACACTGGGACCACCGTCTTTAGCGCGAACCAAAAGCAGCCACGGGAATTTGGGCAACCACTGGGTGTTATCCTTAACACTCGCCTCTATGTACTTCTGCTCCATTACCTCAGCCTTGGACAGGATGGGAGAGTTGGTGTCCGCACGTACAGGCATCTCCTCTGGTTCCTCTGGTTCGGGCTCGGAGTCTTCTGGAGCGCTTGGTGGTGCCACACGCACACCGCCGAAGGTCAACGTGCTCTGCTGAAACTTCCCGCGGAGTACGACAGTGCGCGCCTTCTTAGCTGTACGACCCTCGGACGCGGGAGCGGCATCATTGCAGCCGCTGCTACCAACAGCATAGGGAGGCGCTTTACTCGACGACGGGATGACGGGAGGGAGAATGAACGGCGTTGGTGGTGGCGCGGGATTGGGAGGAGGTTGCGGCCCCTTGCTAGATGACGAGATGGCGGGAGGGAGAGTGAACGGCGCTGGAGGAGGCGCGGGATTGGGGGCCGGTTGCGGATTCTTGCTGGACGACGGTAACTCCTCGGTATTAACAGCAGCAGCGGTAACTAAAGGTTCTGGAGTGACTGGAGCTACGCTTGATCGAAGGAATTCTAGGACGCTAACCCTACGATCGGGAGGCTTTTCCGGGACGGCCTCAGGCGAGTCCTCCGCGGGAGATAAGGACGCCATGGCGAGAGAGAACGATGAATAAAGAAGCTGAAAGCACGAGAATGAAAGCAACATGTGAAACTGGGGGAGGCCCTTCAACCTGGAAAGAACCAGCTGCAGTAGACGGAACGAAAGCCGCGTCGCCACGACAATGGCTCACGGAGTGGGGTGGGGTTTGATGAATGAATCGGGCCTTGAAGACGGGGCCAAATTCATCTGCCACAATGCCACCACACATAGCTAGTGAGCCATGCCACCAATCGCGATCGACCCATCACATTAAGTGAGGGTGGCACGGTTCGCATGACTGCAGAGTCATCATCAAGCTTGGCATACTGGCCGCAGCACACCGCACCTGGCTGCCTTGCTGTGCACAGCGCACCAACAGATTTTGTCAACATTACGTGGTTTCGAGGCCACGCGAACAAGAAGACAACCACGGGGGGTGGTGAAATGATTACGCGTGGAAAAAATTTACAAGGGGAGGGGGGGGTACTTTCGGAAATTTCGGGGAAGCTTCCTCTCAATACACCGGCATACAGGGACCACATGCTGTATACTCTGTAGGGACAGACTCCAGAAACGACTAAGGCCGTATTCCAAAGCACGGACACCATTCGAAGTTGGGCCACGCGGTCCGCAATGTTGGAAATTCGAATTTCAATGTTGCGCCACGCGGTTCGGCATCAAGACACTTCGGAGCTGACGGCCACGTAACATGCGACCGTCTTGCACGTCTTCATGCGACAAGGGGTTTCATGCCATGTTGGTGTATGATTGGGACATTGAACCTGACAGGCTGAGTACGTGACCAGTTAGCGTCACGAAACTTTACGCATTCTGACCTGCGAGATAGTCGGTTGTACAAACTCCAGATCCTCACAACGTGAACAAGTACTCGCTGCTCTCAACACCAAGCCAACCAACATAAAAACACATGAAAACGATTTCGCGGCAGAAGTTTCACAATTGCCCACGAAGTCAGAACTGGACGTTTGGCAGGCTACACTGCGACGGGTTCTGGCACATTCTGTTGGGCGCGAAGCAAACCAGACCAGCTCTGCGTCAGACGACGCAGACGACCGTTCCGGCCAACCCTGCGACCCCAAAAGTCAAGATTGGGGGCCTGCCCCACACAGACACCATCCCGAGCCCCAAGAAGTTCGGATGGGGCCACTTCGGATGGTGTCCGTGCTTTGGAATACGATCTAAGTCTAAGAACTATTACACTATATCAGGGGCCTACAAACAATAACACTGAGGCCCTCAGGGATGAGATATTGATTACTCTGCAAGTCCATTTTCCACAACCTCAATGCTCTGATTGGTCAGACTACCCAGACTATTTAGTCTGATAGCGTCAGCCCTGGCCGTTGCATGTTTTCGCACATAGTGGTCGCTCATACCTTCACTCATACTTTGTACTCGTTTTGACACCTAGTGCAATCCTCGCTACTTCGATTTATTGCACCCGTAACGCATTGCACCAACACGGCTCAAACGGAAGATGTCATCGGAATCAGGTCGACAGGCCTGTCAACCTGTGTCGACCTGGCGACCTGCTGCCCCGGGCAGCAAAAAAACTAAACCCCCATCGGATGGCATGCCATCCGAGGGAGGCATCAACCCTAAATCCATGCCTCCCCGTGTTTAGGGTTGATGCCTCCCTGACCGGATGCATGCCCGAATGGGTTTTATTTTTTTTGCTCGCGGGCAGCGAGCTCCCTCGGGCGTCGACCTGGTTCCGCTGAGCTATTTTCGGCGGTCCCTCACCACAGAAAGGACGGCGGGAGAGCGAGTGACTACTGGAGCAGTGCAGGCAGGAGTTTGGGGCCTGTCCGTCAGGTCTCCAATTTTCTCGAGCTGTGTTTCCCTGGCTGGCAAGGACGTATTCCTTTGCTCGGGTTACCTTCGCAGGCATCGCGAAATCGGACTGAGCGCTGTGCGGCACGAATATAACCCGATAGGTTACCAGATAGGTTTCGCATAACCCCGTCTGGATCACGGTGATGTGCAGCGTGGGGATGGGAGACACCCCATCAGATAAGATCGCGGAAAAGTCAGTGTCTCTCAAGACACGCCTTGATTTTACCGCGTTCCACTCATGCCGGATGACTTCTTCTCCGCTCGAGACCCTACCCAAACTTAAAGTTGCGGTCTACATTCTAAAAGGGATTTTCTGGGGGTAATCTGAGTACACACCCTTGCGCCCAACATGATTCGAGAGCGAAATGAGCTTCTTCCCCAAACACCTGTGCGGGGAATTCAAGCACTCCTGGCGATGACAAACAATTTCGTGAGCTGGTTTCCCCGGGGCAAGTAATCCACGGAAATGCGGAAGACCCTGCGCCCAACACAAACAATCAAGCGGAATAGAAAACGTATGCCCATGATGAGCACAACCGTCAAACATGCAAGCTACGCCATGCTGCACTAGACTGCGAATCCCGCTACCTGCAGGCAGCGCAGCTGAATACTGCACGCCATCGCGCCCACTGACGCGAAATTCGCCTGGAGCGCGTAGGGCAGTGTTTTTTTTTCATGCTGCCACGCTGATAGCTGCGATTCCTGCTAGCAGCGTGTAGCGTAACGTCTGTTTCACGCCATCCCGCTCACAACCACGATTCTGGCCATGTGCGCGTATCGTAGCGTCTTCTTGACGCCACCACGCTAAGCCGCAATTTCCGCTTGCGGCGTTTGTTTCGCGCCACCACGCTAAGAGCCACGATTCCCGCTCGTAGCGTCACTCTTACCCACGATTTCAAGCCACCCATGTAACATCCGTACCCAACCCCAGCTGGTCTTGATACGTCGAACCAGCTGAGGGAGAAATGTGGGGAAATCTGGTTGGTTGGGAAAGCGAGACTTACGGGCAATTCAGGATTGACTGGGAAACCAACCAATCGAAATTGCTGCTGAGTAAAACTTACGCAATTGGTTTGAGCTGGTTCAAACATAACCCACGTAAGTTCACCTCATCACTAATTCAACCAATCAGAACACAGCCCCAAAAGTGAGTCGATAACATTTCTGCCGCTCACTCCAAACACAACCAATAAACATCAAACATTGGTTTGTGAATGCTGTGCATTTCCTATCCTTGCTATCTATAATATTATTGGTTGAGAATCTTGTTTATTGCCACATGGGCAAGGCCCAAGGGGGTGCACCCCTCCTTGTCATGGGGAAGGTGGCTGCACCCCAAGGGGGTCTAGGGAAGGGGTCTGAAACCTTTGGGCTGATTCTTCATTTCCAGTCCCAACCAATCAATTGGGAAATAGGATTGCTTTCTCTCAACTCACCTTCCACAGTTTGTTACTGCATCTCCTAGCATTCTCCAGACTTGGTGATTTCCAGGAGCTGCTACTCTCTGTTTGTGTTAGAACTTATCTATATATGGGTAAATGCCCTTTTTCTTACTAGATCCGTTACATTGGTAATCAGAGCTATTAGTAGATCCTTGCCTTGTGGGCATCTAGGAGGATTTTCTTTTTCTTGTTCTTGGAGGAGTTGTGATTTTCATTGTAATCTCCATATTATCAACTTGTGAAGACTACAAACTACTCAAGCTTCAGTTTTCAAGATCTACAAGCCTCTCCCAGAGTTCTAAGCCCTGCCTCCCTCCCTGCTGGTGGAACCATTGGAGCTACTGTGAAGAAGTTGCAACCTGTGTGAATTAACATTCTCTGTTGAAGACAATCACTTTGTGATTGTTCTTGCCTTATCCACTGCGGTGGTAAGGATATTTTGCAACAGAGGTGTTTTTTCACATTGCTGTGGTTGTAAGATCTATTGAAGAAATTTCTCCTTTGGAGAAAATCTTGGTTATTCACTGCGGTGATAACAATTTGCAGTAGATCTGTAACTCTTCTTTTTTTACAGTACAATGACTTTGCTCTTAATGGCTTCTACCAACTCCAATGCTGGTGGTGTTGAAGGCAACAACTCCAATGCTGAACTGGAAGCTTGTGTGCAGAAAATTGACCTGAACAACATGGATGAGGAAATGACTGAGAAGGAACCTGTTGTTGACTCCCCTGCAAGGGACCCTCCAGCTGCTGAAAATTCCAAGGAGCAAGAAGGGGAGTCTCAGGAGGATGACATTGAGTTGGAAGGGGAGGAGGACATTCTGCATGCTGAAATTGCTAAGCTGCAGGATCATGCTATTGAGCACGATACGCGCATCCAGCAGCAGCAGTCACTCATCACCAACCTCACGAGGGAGCTCTCTGACCAGGACGACAAAATCAAGTACCTGGAAGTGGAGCTTAAAAACATGAAACATGACGTGCGCGAGCACGTTCATCAGCTGGCGAGGCAGACCTCAAAGATCAACGAGCTGCGCGAGGCCTTCACTGCCCTCCGAAGGGAGACCGTGTATCGCCCTGCACCACGAGCGGACCCGCCTGCCAACTCCGCTAGCGGTCGCACCAACCCTTCTCGCTCTGGTGGTGCAGTGGGTGACCCTGGTCCTTCTACGCAGCGTGCTGTTGAGCCGAGCACGCAGGCTTTTGGCTCTCTGCCAATCACCCTGCCGCCATTCATCCATGGCAAAACGGACGTGGCTGCGTGGTTGTCGATGATGACCGACCTGTTCAAGGCGCACAAGGTCCAAGACGACGCTCGCGTCGTCGCTGCCACCACCGTGCTGGACCAGAATGCACAGCGAGTGGTGTATGGCAGCAAGATCCAGGCTGAGGCGGATAGGAAGCCGTTTGGGTGGGAGGAATTCGCATCTGCACTCAAGCAAGCTTTCCAGGTCCAGCCGACTCAGTTGGAGGTGCGCAGCCGCCTTGAGAAGCTGCAGTGCGGGAACCGCACAGTGCAGCAGTACGCCGTGGAGTTCGAGGAGATCTGGGTGCTCCAGAAACCGGCGGAACATATGAGCGAAGGCGAAAAGATCCATCTGATCTTCAGGGGGCTGCCTGAGCACCTCAAGAACATGCATATGACGGATGGGGCTGGGGAGGCATGGAGGTCCTATGATCACGTGAAGCGAGTGGTGGGGACCACTGATAAGCACTTCCGCGCTTATGCCAAAACCACTACCCAGCCGCAGCAGGCCTCAAGGCCCTCTTCTAGCACTGCGGGTCCTAGCGGAAGGCAGCAGAGAACGCCTTAGAAGTGCGGGAACCACAAGAGGCCCTTCCAGCAGGGGCAGCAGGCTGACCACAAGGCCAAGAAGGTCAACGAGGGTGGACCAAGCAATGTCCAGAGCTACTTCAAGTGCGGCAAGCCTGGACACAAGGGCTATGAGTGCCGGCGGTGAAGTACTCTGGCAAGTCCAAGACGGACAGCAAGCGCCATGATGGCAGTGGTCCCTCGGGCAGCCAGCGGGATTTTGCAAAGCCCAACTAGGGGGTGGGTACCTAGCGGGCATAGTAGATCGAGAGGATGAGGCAGTGGTCCTGCGGGATGAGGAGTTATTGAAACTCGAGTGCCTTATTGATTGCAAAATTGCATGTGTGTATGCATTTTCTTTTAATGAAAGCTCTTTGTTTGCCTCTCGATTTCACCCACTGGAAAATGTCACAATTGAATCATTACGAGATAAATTCTCACTTATATTTTGTGATCACCATAATTTGCCTTGGATAATGGAGATGGTGGGTCGTTGCACCCAAGCGCACCCTCTAACCGCGGTTGGAATGGTAACGCGCACAGTTCGAGGTAAATTGTGTCGAGCACTTCAAGGATGGAGCGTGTTAGCGCAGTGGGATAAGGGACACCATGTGCGGTGGACACAAGCTCGTTCATTTGGATGCAGCAAGCACGGCATTAAGGCATATTATTTGCCTCCCACTGATATTACAGCATGTCCTATTCGACCCAAACATCAGCTGAACCTTTTGTTTTCGGGTCGCGTAAATGGGCGCGGTGCCTCGATCCTGGTTGATACAGGAGCGACTGCGTCATTGATCGATGAGAAATGAATGGGGTATTTGAATGTGCCTGTTCAAGGACCATCTTGCTCTATCCGTCTGGGAGATGACAGGGTCATCCCATGCAGAGGACATGCCTTGGTCAACCTGGATATCCAAGGATATCAGGAGACCATCAGCGTTTTTGTCTTACCCCTCCTAGCAGGCGTAGACATTGTCTTGGGAATGGATTGGCTGCGGCCTAATGAGGTGATATTAAATTTCCAAGATAACACGCTTTCATTCACAAAGAATGGGACGGCGTTTCAATGGCAAGTCCCAAAGCGCCATGCACTGGACCACAAACCTCAAAGCCTGGCTCTTGATGTGCGCTTTACGTCGGCTCTCCAATTCAAAGAGCATGTCAAGGGAGCTGATACACTTTTTGTTGTACAGCTGGACTCTGAACCAACCCCTTCACAAATTATTGAGGACTTTCCACCTCAAATGAAGGCGTTGGCAGAGGACTATTCCGAGGTTTTCGAACCAATTCCGGACGGGTTACCCCCCGACCGTGCAGTTGGCCACACCATCCCGGTGGAACCAGGAAAGGCACCACCATTTAGACCTCTGTATCGCCTCAGTCCAGCTGAGTACGAGGAGGCTAAACAATAGATTGAGGAGTACCTCACGAAGGGATGGATAGAACCTAGCGCATCCCCATATGGAGCACCTATCTTGTTTGTTCACAAGAAGGGAGGTGGACTGCGCATGTGCGTCGATTATCGAGCCCTGAATAAAATTACGATAAAAAACAGATTTCCACTTCCGCGCATAGAAGATTTATTTGATTGACTACAGGGTGCGCAATGGTTCAGTGCACTGGACTTGGCGCAAGGCTATCACCAATTGCGTATAACAGAGGACGATGTTCCAAAGACGGCTTTCCGTTCGCCGTTCGGCCATTTTCAGTGGCGTGTGTTAAGTTTTGGCTTGACCAACGCTCCGGCCTCTTTCCAGAGGGCGATGAACGATGTTTTTCGGGATGCGATTGGCCAGTTCGTCTTGGTGTACCTCGATGATATCCTGGTATACTCAAAAACCGAAGACGAGCATACTGAACACTTGAAATGGGTCCTCACAAAATTACGCGAGCACAAATACTACGCACGTTTGTGGAAATGCCATTTTTACAAACGCGAGCTGGAGTATTTGGGGCACGTAGTGGGGCACAACGGTCTGAAAGTGGACCCCAAGAAGGTAGCAGCTGTCCAGGAGTGGCCCGTCCCACGCGACGTTGGCCAAGTTCGATCATTCCTGGGCCTGGCGAATTATTTTCGTCGCTTCTTGGAAAATTATTCCACGATAGTCGCTCCCCTCACGGCATTGACCCGGAAAGGGTGCACGTGGGAGTGGACTCCACAGTGCCAAAAGTGTCAGAATATTATGCTCTAGCCTATAGTGGGGTGCTCCATAGCGAGTACAACCCTTCTAGGGTTTGCTATTTGTATCCCCATTCTTGCTAGTTCAATCCTCTTCTTTCTTCTATCTTTTCACAAAAAGGCCTTCGAAGAGGTCAAGCATAAATTAACCAACGCACCAGTTTTGGTGTTGCCAAACCCACAGAAACCATATGAGGTGGTTACGGACGCCTCGACGGTGGGACTTGGTGCAGTACTCCTGCAAGAAGGACGCCCTGTGGCATTTGAGAGTAGAAAACTCTCCCCGGCAGAGCAACGCTACACGACAACCAAACAAGAGTTGTTGGCTGTCGTGCATGCGCTAAGAACATGGCGATGTTACTTGGAAGGGGTAGAGTTCGTGGTCACCACTGACCATTGTCCGAACACATATTTTTCTACCCAAGCTTCCCTCACTCGCCGCCAGGCCCGTTGGGCTGAACTCCTTAGTGGGTTCTGTTTCGACATTCGTTATCGTGCAGGTTCCACGAACTTGGCTGACCCCCTCAGCAGACAGCCGATAGGGGCAGCAACTAGGCTTGACGATACCGAACATGCGGCTGTTTTTGCTGCCTGTTTTGGCATACTAGCTGCGGCGAAAGTGAGCGAGATCGCATTCAGTGGTTTTCTGAAACGAATTCGTACAGGATATCATATTGATTCCTGGTTCCAGAACCCACAAAACACCAGACATTTGACATGGGAACACGATCTTTGGTGGCGAACAAAAGAGATTGCGGTACCTCACGTAGGCAATCTGCGGAACGATATTTTGGAAGAGGTGCATGCCACTAAATATGGGGGACACTTGGGCATGAATAAGACCTGATGGGCCCTACGAGATGTGTATTGGTGGCCAGGAGTCAGTAGTGATGTCCAAGAGTTTGTGGCACGTTGTGACGCGTGCGCACGTAACAAAGCGGACACACAGAAGCCTGGTGGTTTGCTTCAACCACTTGAAATTCCGAGAGAACCTTGGGAAAGCGTTTCACTGGATTTCATCACCGACCTCCCAAGAACCCGTGATGGGTATACGGCGATACTCGTCATTGTAGATCGCCTCACAAAAATGGTGCACTTCGTACCCACGACAACAGACATATCACCAGAGGATACTACTCGGTTGTTCGTGACACATGTGTTCCGTCTACACGGATTGCCACGTGTATTAGTGTCTGATCGCGATCCGCGCTTCACGAGCCGATTTTGGCGTGAAGTAACCGAGACACTAGGAACGAAGCTTAAGATGTCATCAGCGTTCCATCCCCAGACAGATGGGCAAACGGAACGGACTAACCGCACTCTCGAGCAGATGCTTCGTTCTTTCATAAGCCCAACACAGGAAAACTGGGACGAGTTGTTACCCATGGTCGAGTTTGCAGTTAACAACTCAGTGCATGATAGCACACATGAAAAACCATTTATCCTGAACTGTGGTCGGCATCCCACAACACCTGCTACGCATGGGATCGGCGGTTTGAAATTACCAGCCGCAAAGGATTTTGTGGGCAAGCAATGAGAGGCCCTAAAGTCGGCACGTTGTTGGCTGCAATTAGCCCAACAGAGGCAAAAATCCTATGCCGATATGAAACGCCGGGAAGTCTTGTTCTCTGTTGGAGACAAAGTTCTGTTAAGCACGAAGAACATTCGGCTTAAGATCCCTGGCGCGAGAAAGTTGTTCCCTCGCTGGATTGGGCCCTTTGAGGTGATTCAACGAGTTGGTGCGGTAGCTTACAAACTCAAGCTACCTGATACCCTTCAGATTCACAATGTCTTCCATGTGTCTCTGTTAAGCAAGTACGTTGCAGAAGGCAAGTACTTACCACCACCAACAATCGTTCTAGGGGAGGAACTGTACTATGAAGTCGAACGAGTGCTTTTGCATCGTGATCGACAACGCGGCCGCAAGACTGTACGAGAGTTCCTCATTAAGTGGAAAGGCTATGGTCCTGAACACAACACAACTCTTGGGAGCCGGAAGAACATTTGACTGATACTGCGGTTCAGTCTTACATGGAAGACCTGGCTCAACGGGCACTCCCACAACCAGCGGATGGTGTTGACCCTGGTCGTAATGTGGTTCGTCGTGCTCGTAGCACTCGTCCTAAGAAGCACCCCACGGCAACGAGGACGTTGCCAGCTGGAGGGGGAGGAGTGTAACATCCGTACCCAACCCCAGCTGGTCTTGATACGTCGAACCAGCTGAGGGAGAAATGTGGGGAAATCTGGTTGGTTGGGAAAGCGAGACTTACGGGCAATTCAGGATTGACTGGGAAACCAACCAATCGAAATTGCTGCTGAGTAAAACTTACGCAATTGGTTTGAGCTGGTTCAAACATAACCCACGTAAGTTCACCTCATCACTAATTCAACCAATCAGAACACAGCCCCAAGAGTGAGTCGATAACATTTCTGCCGCTCACTCCAAACACAACCAATAAACATCAAACACAGGTTTGTGAATATGAAATTTTTTGAAAGTGTATAACACTTTCTAAAAATACGTATTGTGAAAGCGCAGCTGTCTGTAGTGCAGCAAGGCAACTGCGAATTAGCATTCGCCGAATATATGAGAGGGTTGGAGGCCATTTGGCCTCCACCCACGTCTTCATTTCGGAACTTTGTAGTTCCACTCCCCACCCACCCACCCTGATTATATACGGTACATGGATGATTCTTAGTTGGACGAGAATGTTGTAATTACTGCAATTCTAATGAAGCATGTTGCCATTGCAAGAACAGAAAGCAAGCTTTCTCAATGCTGTGCATTTCCTATCCTTGCTATCTATAATATTATTGGTTGAGAATCTTGTTTATTGCCACATGGGCAAGGCCCAAGGGGGTGCACCCCTCCTTGTCATGGGGAAGGTGGCTGCACCCCAAGGGGGTCTAGGGAAGGGGTCTGAAGCCTTTGGGCTGATTCTTCATTTCCTACTCCCAACTAATCAATTGGGAAATAGGATTGCTTTCTCTCAACTCACCTTCCACAGTTTGTTGCTGCATCTCCTAGCATTCTCCAGACTTGGTGATTTCCAGGAGCTGCTACTCTCTGTTTGTGTTAGAACTTTATCTATATATGGGTAAATGCCCTTTTTCTTACTAGATCCGTTACAACCCAAGTCACAGTCGGGATTCTCTCCATGTGCGCGTGGCGTAGCGCCTTTCACACGCCCAGGTCGTACCTCCCTTTCCCCCCCAGTGCGCTCCTCCCTTTTCCCCCCAAGTCGCACCTCCCTTTCCCCCCAGGTCGCACCTCCGTTTCCCACAATGTCGCACCTCCGTTTCCCCCCAGGTCGCACCTCCGTTTCCCCCCAGGTCGCACCTCCGTTTCCCCCCAGGTCGCACCTCCGTTTCCCCCCAGGTCGCACCTCCGTTTCCCCCCAGGTCGCACCTCCCTTCCCCCCAGGTCGCACCTCCGTTTCCCCCCAGGTCGCACCTCCGTTTCCCCCCAGGTCGCACCTCCGTTTCCCCCCAGGTCGCACCTCCCTTCCCCCCAGGTCGAACCCCCCTTTCCCCCCAGGTCGCACCTCCGTTTCCCCCCAGGTCGCACCTCCCTTTCCCCCCAGGTCGCACCTCCCTTTCACCCCAGGTCGCACCTCCGTTTCCCCCCAGGTCGCACCTCCCTTTCCTACCAGGTCGCACCTCCCTTTCCCCCCAGGTCGTACCTCCGTTTCCCTCCAGGTCACACCTCCCTTGCCTACCAGGTCGCACCTCCCTTTCCCCCCAGGTCGCACCTCCGTTTTCCCCCAGGTCGCACCTCCTCCTCCAATCTCCCCCCGTCCCTCACCCCCATCTTCTCATCCCCCGCAAACCCTCTCTCAGCTCATTCTATCTCTTCCCTTCCCTCTCTCCCTTCTTTCCCTCATGTCTCCCCCGCCTTCCCCCCATTTCCCCCCTCCATGCCCTCATTCCCATCCTTCCTTCCCCTCATTTCACTTTTATCTTCCCCATTTCCCCACTACTTTCTCTTGGTTTCCCCCCTCCCCCTTTTTGCCACCCGCGCCTGCAGCCTCGTGACCGCCACCGAGCCGCCAGCTGCACGTTTGACGAGGTGCGCGAAATGTGCCCATTCACAGGCCAGCGCCTTTCCTCATCCCTCCGAACCTCTTCCTCTCCGCCCTCCCACCCTTGTCTTTCTCTTCCCCCCCTGTTCTCCTCTCTCTCCACCGTCATCCTCTCTCCCCCCTGTCCTCCTACCCCCTCCTGTCATCCTCTCTCCCCCCTGTCCTCCTCCCCCCTCCTGTCATCCTCTCTCCCTCCTGTCCCCTCCCCACCCCTGCCATCCTCTCTCCCCCCTGTCCACCTCCCCCCACCTGTCATCCTCTCTCCCTCCTGTCCTCCTCCCCCCCACTGTCATCCTCTCTCCCTCCTGTCCTCCTCCCGACCCCTGTCATCCTCTCTCCCCCCTGTCCTCCTCCGTCCCCTCTGTCCTCTCTCCCCCTGTCCACCCCCTTGCTCCCCTGCCATCCTCTTCCACTCGCTTTATTGGCCACTCCTTTTTCCCCCTTTATCCCCGTTTCCACCATAGTTTCCCACTCCTTTCCCTCTCCTTCCCACTCCTTCACTCTCCTTCCCATTCCTTTCCCGCTGCTTTCCTTATGCCCTGCCATTGCTCCCCCACTCTCCTCTTTTCCCCTCGTGCTCGGCTGAGTGTGCTGTGCAGGCTGCAGCAGGGCAGCGGGCCACCATGGAGGGGAGGACATGGGCTAAGCTTGCTACCACACGCGCCAATGGGCGCTTGGATGCTGGGCACTATGGCACTCTCCATTCGCCCTGCCACCTCATGCGCCACTCATCCACCCCTCCTTCCCTCCTGCTTGGGCCTCCGACTTGCTACTGCAGCTGGGGTGACTGCAGCAGCATGAGCACTACATGGGCTCTCACCACTCAGCAGGAGCTCATTAGCCAACGTGTGAGCGGAGGCGACTATATAAAAGTGGACAAAGGCTGTGTTGTAAATAAAGTTATTTTACACACAATACATACGGTACGGTAAATGTCCTCCACACCCACCAGTGTTGCAAAAGAGGGACCATTAGAAATACCCACACATGACAAATGCTTTCATTCTTTTGTATGTAGAACCTCAAACTGAATAGGGTATTTCGTGAATAACTTGCAACGCGATGTTACGATACAGCAAGGGCCCACATCAAACTGTCCTAAATTTAACTAGTCTGCTTGGTTGCTTCATGCCTGACGAGCTGCACCACCGACGAGAGAACAGGGAGGGAAGAGAGAGCAGGGAGGGAAGAGAGAGCAGGGAGGGAAGAGAGAGCAGGGAGGGAAGAGAGAGTGAGGGAAGAGGGAGCAGGGAGAGAAGAGAGCAGGGAGGGAAGAGAGAGCAGGGAGGGAAGAGAGAGCAGGGAGGGAAGAGAGAGCAGGGAGGGAAGAGAGAGCAGGGAGGGAAGAGAGAGCAGGGAGAGAAGAGAGAGCAGGGAGGGAAGAGAGAGCAGAGAGGGAAGAGAGGGCAGGGAGGGAAGAGAGAGCAGAGAGGGAAGAGAGAGCAGGGAGGGAAGAGAGCAGAGAGGGAAGAGAGGGCTGGGAGGGAAACAAGTGGTAAGCAGGGGGAAAATAAAGAGCGAGCAGGGGGGAAACAATCGGTAAGCAGGGGGAAAAGGGAGAGTGAACAGAGGGGAAACAATCGGTAAGCAGGGGGAAAAGAAAGACTGAACAGGGGGGAAACAATGGGTAGGCAGGGGGAAAGGAGAGAGCGAGCACGGGGGAAACAATGGGTCAGCAGGGGGAAAAGAAGGAGTGAGCAGGGGGAAAAGAAGGAGTGAGCAGGGGGGAAACAATGGGTAAGCAAGGGGAAAAGAAATACTGAACAGGGGGGAAACAATGGGTACGCAGGGGGAAAGGAGAGAGCGAGCAGGGGGGAAACAATGGGTCAGCAGGGGGAAAAGGAAGAGTGAGCAGGGGGGAAACAATGGGTGAGCAGGAGATTAGACGGGGAATTCGCATTGTTTTGGGGCCGGAGGTGCGATGTGAGAGAGGAACAAGTGGACACTGGAGAATGCCTTATTCCCCCCTCCTCCCCCTTTCGGACCCTTCTTGCTGCTCATCCCCTCTCACCAAAGGCGCTACGTTTCAGTCTACAACACCCGCTTTCCTCGATGTTGGTGGTTATGTAATGGCAGGGATGAGCGTAGTGGAACAGAGAGACGAAAGAGGGAACCAGCGGGTATGGAAAAGGGAAAGGTGCGTATAGGACGGGGGAAGGCAGCGCGTAGGGAAAGGGGAAAGCCGCCAGTATGGAATGTGGAAAACCAGCGCGAGGGGAAGCAGGGATGCAGCTCGAGGGGAAGCGGGGACGGAGCGCGAGGGGAAAGCGTGGATGCAGCGCGGGGGAAGCGGGGATGCAGCGCGAGGGGGAAGCAGGGAAACAGCGCGAGGGGAAGCAGGGAAGCAGCGCGAGGGGAAGCAGGGAAGCAGCGCGAGGAGAAGCAGGGAAGCAGCGTCGAGAAACAGGGAAGCAGCGCGAGGGGAAGCGGGAATGCAGCGCGACGGGAAGCAGGGAAGCAGAGCGAGGGGAAGCGGGGAAGCAGCGACGAGAAGCAGGGATGCAGCGCGAGGGGAAGCGGGAATGCAGCGCGACGGGAAGCAGGGAAGCAGAGCGTGGGGAAGCGGGGAAGCAGCGACGAGAAGCAGGGATGCAGCGCGAGGGGAAGCGGGGATGCAGCGCGAGGGGTGGGAGGGTAGAACGAGGGAAGGGAACTGGGTGGGACCGAAGGATGTAACGCAGTCGCTAAAGTCAATACGTGAACGATGGTAGTGCGAGTAAAAAAAGAGAGCGCGCCACTTGGGTGTTCTCACTGGGCTGCGGTTCGCGGAAAGCGGGATAACCATGCGGTAAGCTGTAAGCGGCCTGCGGAAAACGGCCAGTGGAAAACGGGACAAATTTGCGATTAACTGAAAGCGGCGAGCGGAAAGCGGGATATTCCAGCTTGAAGCTAAAAGCGGGGACCTGAGCTGAGAGCGCCAACCCTAAGCGCGGCAGCACGCGGCGACGCTGAATTCGGGTTCCTAACGACGGAGCAGAAGGGGGGGATTGGAGAGCGCGGAACAGCAAGTGGTTAGCGGCCGGTGCGGACAGTGTCGCTAGAACGCAGTGGCTTCGAGTCGCTGGTTTATACTGGAGACTATAATCTATGAATTATAGTCACTATGTGTTGGACAAGCGGGCTGTCGAGTGAAGTCAGGCTCCTGTGATCGCTTGAGTTTTGGTATACAAACTCAAACACGGTGGGTCAAGTTCTAACCTGAACCCCCAGGCCTCCCCCCTCCTCCCGCCTCGATTGTTCGTTTCTCCCGAGGGGGTCCTTGCACGGACAAAGTTACCCTGTTTTCAAGTGATAAACTTTCCCTCCCCGCTCCAAGTATGTAGACCGCAGCTTTAAGAACGTGTATACAAACCGTTTTCACACGCAGAATATCGCATCCCACCGTACAAGACACTCCCTAAGGCTTGACAGCTACTGTTGGTTCCACTTCACCCCACTAGCCCAAGGCGGCTCTTCCTCGCACACACACAACGCTTGTGTGAGACGTGAGATTGCATCGTCTCGTGTTGCTTTACAACACTTCCCGCTAGCGTCACGCCACGCGATCGCGTTATCATCTCACTCCCCGTCACGTGCTAATATCGCATGCTCGTTCCATTGTGCTTCGACATTGTCGAGCTGCTTCGTCTAGCCGCCTCTGCCGCGACTACCGCGCTACCAGGTGCCTCTCGTCGTTCTCGCGAAGACGATGTGTTGGTCGCACTGGCAGCGTCGGCGTCGAACCCGGTTCAGCCATTCAATAAAAGCCTTGAGCGACGACGCTTAGTCGCTATCTACCGTGCTATTTTTCTCGAGCTCCACCTGTCTATCCGTTTCTGCCCTCCTTCCTCGGGTCGTCGCTCGTCGCCCCGCTCTCGTGCTCGGTGTTGCTGCCTCACTCTAAAAAACGCGTCCGCGAATCTCCCAACCGGCTGCCGATAGTTCTTTGTTCATAGACTCCGCTATTAGCCTTCCGCTATTCACCCTCCCCTTCCGACATAAGCTTCAGTCTTTAACCCGCCTACCTTTAACTGTTAACGTCCGCGCAATCTCCGCGCATGACACTCCGCGCATGACTCTCCGCGCATGACACTCCGCGCATGCCCCTCCGCGCGTGACATCCGCGCATGACTGCCCGCGCGTGAGCCGCGCCGTGGATGTCATCGTCGGGTCGCAGCAGCAGCAGCAGCAACACCGCCTTCTCCTCCGATCGCAGCGTCGCCAGCAGCGTCGCCAGTTGCTCCTCCGCGCGCGGCCCCCCCTTGCTCCCCCACCCCGCCGCCTCTGATTCCGCCGCGCCGGATACTGCCGCGCCCGATTCTGCCGCGCCTGATACTGACATTCCTGATACCACTGTCCCTGCGTCCGCCCCAGCCGTCCCCCCGTGGGACATCCGTGCGTCCCCCGCCGCGGGTAGCGCGGGCGTGCAGCAGGCGAGCGGAGACGTGTTCATCCCGTGGCCCGCCCACGTGCGCGCCGCCCTCGCTTCTCCGCAGCAGCAACAGCAGCAGCAGCAATTCACCTTGTTTTTGCAGCAGCAACAGCAGGGCCTTCAGGGAGCGGTTCAGCTAGAGCAACAGCCGGATATCTCTCTGTTTCAGCACCAGCACCAGCAGCAGCATCAGCAGCAGCTGTTTGCGTTCCAGCAGCAGCAGGGCGTGCGGCGCACAGGCGACTGCGTGGGGACGTGCCTGACGTCGCTGGAGGTGCTGCTGAATCCATTCTGCGCGCGCGCCACGCACCACCTGCCCCTCCACTCGCCCGCTTTCTCCATGGTATGCTGCTCCCTTGGTAGGCTAGGAAGGCTCTGTCTTTCAGGGATGGGCCCACACGAGTCACACATCTGACTTCCTCGCTGCCTTGCCCTGCTGACGTCACAGCCCAACTTCACATTTGTGTCTCTTCTCCCCCCACGCTGCTGAACCATTGCTTTCTCACTCTCTCATCACTCTCTTCTCTTTTCCCTCCACACTCGCTTCCCTCCTCCCTCCCTCTCCTTTCTTCCCTCTCTCCATCACGCTCATCTCATCCATGCATGCTCCCTTTCTCTCCTCGCCCCCCGCCCTCCCCCCTCACCAGGCGTCAAATTCCTCTGCGCCCTCCTCCAACGGCCCCTCCCCGCTCGCCCCCTGGCACCACCCGCAGCAGCAGGCGCAGCAGCCGTACCACCCGCAGCAGCAGCAGGCCTTTCCGCCCCCCCACGGCCTCATGCCGCCGCCCCAGCCACGCCCATCGCAGCAGCAAAACCACGTCTCTTTTCAGCTGCAGCCGCCTTCGCAGCAGCAGCATTCACAGCAGCAGGGGGGGGGCGACATGGGCGTGGGCATGGACATGGAGCTGAGCATTCAGCTGCCCGCACGGCGCTGGCCGCCCACCCTGGCCGCCATCACTCCCGGCAGAAGTCTCACCGCCTCCGTGCTCGGCCGCGGCCCCACCCGTAAGCCCACCACGGCTCCACCCGTAAGCCCACCCAACCCCCTCCCGTGCCCCACATGTAAGGCCTATCACCGAACCACATGTAAGCCCACCGAACCACATGTAAGCCCACCGAACCACATGTAAGCCCACCGAATCACATGTAAGCCCACCAAACCACATGTACGACCCAAGCCCACCGCCCCACGTAAACAGCGCCTTTCCTCCCTTCCCTTGGCCCACCCGTAAGGTAAGCCCATGCCCCCCTCCCCTACCCTTTTTGCACCCGTAAGCCCACGTCTCACCTTGCTCGTGCTTGCTACCACTACCATCGCTCCATTTATCTCCCTTCCACTGCCGCCCCCTTCCTTCCCTCTGCCCCCCCCCCTCATCTCCTCCACTCCACCCCTCACGCCACCGTCCTCTGTCCTGCCTTCCCAGCCAACATCCGCACGCTGTTCAACACAGAGCGCAAGGCGCTGGGCGAGGGGCAGTATGGCAAGGTGTATGTGTGCACGGAGAAGGCCACGGGCGTGCGCTACGCCTGCAAGACCATCGCTCGCAGCTCCCTCATCTCCGTGGAGGATGTGGAGGACGTGCGCATGGAGGTGAGGACGTGCGCACGGAGGTGAGGACGGGCGCATGGAGGTGAGTGTACATGGGCAACGGACGAGTCGGGTTCTACTCCACTCGCATTTCGGAGTTCTGCTTACCGGTCAAGCCGAATTGAGGAAAACTCGTCGAGTTTTTTTTCGATAGAATTGTGTCTCAAAACTCGCTACTTTGACAAGTTTCTTGAAACTCGTCCTCGATTTAAAAAGAGCTTGAGTGAGTCAAGTTTTCCACTCGAAGAGGCTCTACCCCAAACCCCCCTGAGGGGGTCATTCTCCCCCCACCCAGCCTGGCCAGCTCCCTGGTCTATGCTAAAACCATGTGAAGTCCAAGCAACCTATCCAGCACAGCGATCCCTGCCACCCCTGAATCATGGGGATGGGCCAGCCAGCCAGGGCTTACCAGCAGTGCTGAAAAAATCCTCCTCTCTCCAGCCTCCCCGACCGAACCCCACCCACCCACCCACCCACCCCTTTTTTTAAGTTTTTGGTGAGCTCGTGATACGTTATACAAGCAGCAGATCCCATGCTCGAGCTGACAGCACTTTCTGAATTGAATCCATTCCAGGTTCTAGCACTTGGGACCAACAGCCTTAGTGATTTCGTGTTTTACTATGCTATGCATGCAAGTGAATAAGTAACAATGTGAAGATCACGTCTGGTGCCCTGGCGAGCGTTTGGGGTGTTCAACGAAAAGGAATACGCGTCACATGCATCTCCCAATGAAGACAAGAGCAGCCATCCCCCCCAAACCACACATGACAGTCAAACAAGTTGTCATCTGTTCACAGCTCCTCATCCCACCCCACGGCAGGTGAGCGTGCTGTTCCGGCTGCAGGGGCAGCCGAACGTGGTGCGCGTGCACAGCACGTACGAGGACCGCCGCGACATCCACATCGTCATGGAGCTCTGCAGCGGGGGCGAGCTCTTCGATGAGATCAACCGCCGCTGCGATGAGATGACCGTGCCCTACAGGTGCGATGAGATGACCGTGCCCTACAGGTGCGGGGTGGCCGTGGGATGAGATGACCTTAGAGAGCGCTGATGAAGGCCACCGGCCTGAGAGCGCTGATGAAGGCCACCGGCCGAAACGCGCGTACGCTCAGGTTTGAATGAAAATCTTCTTACCTATTCAATCCCTACTAGCCTAAGCTTAGCCTAGAGGAGATTAGGAGGAGATAAGGACGAGTTACCTGTTGGATCCAGGTCGAAACTGCTTTGCTATGCTATCTGGGTGCAGTGTGATGCAGCTGCAGAGGACGGTGCTGCTTGGGTGAGGGGAGGACGTTGGGGAAGCATGATGGGTGCCGTGCTGCTGTAGCAAGGGGATTGGTGTGGGGATGGTAATGAAGGATGGTGAGGTTTTCAGCGTCGTGGAATCACATTCAGCTGTCGCACATATCAGCCTTTTATGTATCTACCATACACTCAGCAGCATCTCCGTTCCACCACTTTCGCTGCCGCTTGCCCTCACCCTGCCACCTTCTTCCTACCTTCTGCATCTCTCACCCGCTCTCCCTCCACCACTTCCCATCCCCCCTCACACCCCCACTGACGACCATGTGCGCGAGGGGCAGTGAGAGGGACGCGGCGAAGCTGTGCAAGGCGGTGGTGCGGGCGGTGCATTCGTGCCACAGCAGCGGGGTGATCCACCGCGACCTCAAGCCCGAAAACTTCCTCTTCTCCTCCGCTGGCGCCGACGCCGTGCTCAAGGCCGCTGACTTCGGCATGGCTGCCTACTTTAAACCCGGTGAGTGAGTGCCGCACGTGAGAGGCAGGTGAGTGAGTGGCGCACGCGAGAGGCAGGTGGGGCTGCTGACATGGCAGATGGGGCTGCTGACATGGACTGAGAGAGCGTGTGGTGGAGTGAGAAACAAGGGAGTGGTTGAAGGGTGTGCTGCTACTGTTGGAGTCGAACTGCGAGGCGCCCCTCCATCTGTTTCTGCAGCACCATGACCTCATGCCCGCATGTGCTCTCTCCGTTCTGTAACCGTGTGTGTGCACATGTGTGCATGGCAGGCGAGGGATTCACGCGGGTGTGTGGGAGCTGCATGTACATGGCGCCGGAGGTGATCCGCATCTGGGAGAACCTGGGCAAGCAGCGCTACGGGCCGCCCGTGGACATCTGGGCGTGCGGCGTCATCTTCTACATCCTGCTCGCCGGCAACTACCCCTTCCTGCCGCAAGGCCCCGACCGTACGCACCTCCTCCCCCACACGCCTCTCTTCCAAGTTCCAACTAACCATCCAACTAACCACCCAACTAACCACCCAACTAACCACCCAACTAACCACCCAACTAACCACCCAACTAACCACCCAACTAACCACCCAACTAACCACCCAACTAACCACCCAACTAACCACCCAACTAACCACCCAACTAACTACCCAACTAACCACCCAACTAACCACCCAACTAACCACCCAACTAACCACCCAACTAACCACCCAACTAACCACCCAACTAACCACCCAACTAACCACCCAACTAACCACCCAACTAACCACCCAACTAGCCACCCAACTAACCACCCAACTAACCATCCAACTAACCACCCAACTAACCACCCAACTAACCACCCAACTAACCACCCAAGATAATGAAGATGTCTCTCGCTTGCTGTCTTGCCGTCCCACATCGCTCTCTTGTATCTCCCTGCCCTTCCTCAATGCACCACCCACCTTCCACCCCCCTGCGATCAGTCCTCCACTCTAGTACCCAAGTGAATGCTTTTCACCCCCACCCCTTCCCCCCCACTCCTCTTTTCTCCTCCCTCCCCGCATCCCCCCCCTCCTCCCCGCATCCCCCCCCCCCCTTGGTGCAGGGTCGGAGAGGGCGTTCAGGCGGGTGATACTGCAGCCGCAGCGGCTGTTCCGAGAGGCGGTGTGGGGACGCATATCGGCGGACGCCAAGAGCCTCATCGCCGCCATGCTGCACCCCGACCCCGCCCTGCGCCCCACTGCACAGCAGGTGCTCGGTGCGTGCCCGTGATATAGTGGGTGGCTGGGATGTGTGGTATATGATGGGTGGGATATGGTGGTTGGGATATGATGGGTGGGAGATGGTGGGTGGGATATGGTAGGTGGGATACTGTGCAGTGAAGTGCGGTGTGTGTATGTGGTGGGAAAGCAGATGTCATGCCACCCTCCACTTCCACTCACGCGCAGGGGTGGCAGATGACCTAACATTCACATCCTGCACCCTACTTATTGCCTTTGTCTTTCTCGTGCTGCTTCCGCCTGGCTCATTCGATCCTCCCCACTTGTGCCCCTCTGCTGTTTGCCCTTCCTCCCCGCCTTCCGGTCGCAACCGCACTTCTCCGTTCACAACCGCACTTCTCCGTTCACCGCATTCACACCCGCCCCGGCCCTCTCCCCTGCTCCCATGGTGCGCTGCCTGGGCTCGCACAGAGCACACGTGGATAGTGCGGGCGCCGGACGAGCCGTTGGAGAAGGACGTGGTGGACCGCTTCAAGCAGTTCCTCTACGTCATGCGCCTCAAGAAGGTCAAGAAGGTGGCGCTCCGGGTGAGTCAGCAAGGTCAAGAAGGTGGCGCTCCGGGTGAGTCAGCAAGGTCAAGAAGGTGGCGCTAAGGGTGAGTCAACAAGGTCAAGAAGGTGGCGCTAAGGGTGAGTTAACAAGGTCAAGAAGGTGGCGCTAAGGGTGAGTCAACAAGGTCAAGAAGGTGGCGCTAAGGGTGAGTCAACAAGGTCAAGACCGTGGCGCTAAGGGTGAGTCAACAAGGTCAAGAAGGTGGCGCTAAGGGTGAGTCGCTTCAAGCAGTTCCTCTGTGTCGCCCCTTTTCACTCGCCTCACTCGCCTTGCTTTCATTGCATGTGTGCTGCGCATGGTGGAAGGCAGTGCACACGCACTGCGCTGTGGCATCGCTCCATTCTCTCCTACGTCCTTCCAGGGCGCCGCAATGCAGGCGCACGTGGACTGATGCAGCTTTGCTGCTGCCATGTTGTACCCATGTCCCCTGTCCCCTGCACTACACTCTGGCCTGCGG